TTTTCCTGAAAACTTTTCGCATTTTCGAGCAAAGAGGGGCAGCTGTGAGCACCTAATTTTTGCCACATGCCTAAAATACTCCAAAATATTTTTTATTGCCTTTATGAAATTTTCGAAGTTTTCTCATACTTAGTAGCATTTCAAATCATGAAAATAACGAAATCTTTGCATTTTAAATCTAATCGCATTTTTAAAACACCAAAATTACGAAAAATAATTCTACAATAATTATTTTCTTTGCATGTTTAAATTAATTAGTTTAAATTGATTCACAATTTTAGTGGCTTAGTAATGAAAAATAGGAGTAATTAGGAGTTCAATTAAGTTGGCGAAATTTGGAAAAGAAAGAAAATAGAAGAATGAGGTTGTAATTTTTATGCCCAATTCCCACACTGCCTAGCCCAATCCTACAAACCCTCTTGGCCCAACTTTTTCCCCCCTCTCTTTAAAATCCCATTTTCCAAAAAACCCTAGAGGATCAGACCTTCCCCCTTCTGCTAAACCTAGTGTCGTTTTCCCCTTTCTTCTTCCTGATCTCTCACTCTTTCTCTGATCTTGAACAGAAAAGCAACAGCCGCCTCCCTAATCACTTTTCTCTCAAGACCATATTCTACAACAAAACCCTATTGGCCTCCTTATCCGTATTCATCTCCCTCATCTGATGGCAAAAACTTTCCCATTCACTCCTCACTCTCACACACACAAAACGGCAAAAAAATGGAAAAGAAATCATCCTCTAAAATAAAAAATAAAAAAAATAAAAAAAATTAAGACATTGAGGAGTCCTCATTGAAGAAAGGAAAGCAAACTGTGTCTAAATCTCGCTTGGAAGTGGAGTGTTTAATCTTCAATTTCTAGGCGTTTTAAGAGTCATTTGATTTTCTGTTAATTTGTTGGTTAATTCTCCTGGGCTTTCGAGTTGGTTTCGTCAAAGAATTGAAGCTACGTTCTGCTGGATTTGAACTGTATCTAGCCATATTTTGATTGGGATCGGCTGTTCTGCTGGAATTACTGCCGCTTCTTCACTTCTCTACCGTTTTCTTTTCTTCCTTTCTCATTGTTTTTCAAGGTATTCCTTAAAATTTGATCCTATAATTATGTGTAAATCCATTGATCATGCTTATTGTAGATTGAGTGTTATTGAAATAAGTTATGTCTATGTTTTCCTTATTGAAACTAATGGTTTATTATGGTTAAATGTGTTATAAGTTTGTTTCAATGTGAAATTCAGCTTAGTGAGTAGTGTTCTGTTTGTTCGTTTAGATCGTGTATATAGAGTAGTATATTGCATAGATTTTTATTTATTGTGAAACCCATTTTTGTGCTCAAAGGTGACCTGTTAAAGGTTTCATTTTGAGTATGTTAAGTAAATATGGTCCAGCAACTTCAAGGGTCCATCATAGACATGTTCTCACCTTAATGTAGGATAATGCATGAATAAGCTAATCTCCTTAGTATTAATTTATTGAAATATGTAGTTGGCTTATTTAGTGGCATATTTTGTCTCGTCATCTACTGCAAAATATAAAATGTGTGGGCTCCAATGGAATTTCCAGCCGTGAATCGAAGAACCAAATTCATCACAAGCCTTTGAACTAATTTGAACGTACCAAAATTCTTTGATCATATAAATAAATCAAACATTAAAACCAACAGTTCCTTTGCTATACTACATGACCTTACAATAATCTCAAATCAGTTTTAGAAAAATCATGAACATCATAGCTTGCTTTTGGTGCGTTCAATAATAAATTACTGTAACTATGGGTACGGTTCTCGTGACATAGTCATGATACATAATCCCCAATCTGGGTGCGCATTTCATGTGACTTGACTATAATTTCAAATAATAATAAAAATAAACATGTCATAACTCGTAGGTGCATTTCATGTGGCACGGTTTACAATATGTACCAAAACGACAAGTGCACGACATCTTAACTTGTTCCATAAATAATTAAAAGTGGTTAGAAGATAAAAATGCATAATAGGATTAAAACATGTATTAGATCAGATAATTAGGACAATTATTGATAGTTGAGTGACCGTGTTAAAACCACAAAACTCGGGAGTGCCTCACACCTTCTCCCGGGTTAACATAATTCCTTACCGGTCTTCTGTGTTCGGGGACCATAAATAAGAGTCAATTTCCTAGATTTGGGATTTAAAATAAACCAGCAACTTGGGACACCATAATAACTATCCCGAGTGGCGACTCTTAATCAAAAAATAATCCTACTTTCGATTTATATCGCTTAAATTGAAAAAACTCCCTATCCCCTCGGGAAAAAGGAGGTGTGACAACTTCAAATCCATTTAGCACAAAAATAACACATATCTACAAAAGAAAAAAAGAAAAAGAAAAAGAAACATGGGTAGCCTCCCAATAAGCGTCTGATTTAACGTCGCAACACGACGTAGATTACCATCACTTGAAATGAATCACCGCCACTACATGGACATTACCAACTTTTCCCAAGTAATGCTTCACTCGGTGACCATTGACTAGAAATATCTCATCATTTTTGTTCCTTAAGTCCAATGCACCAAAGGGTGTTATGCCCACAACTTCAAACGAGCTACTCCATTTAGACTCTAACTTTCCGAGAAACATCCTCAATCATGAGTTGAACAACAACAGAAGATCACCCTCTTTGAACTCTTTGTTACAAATGTACTTGTCATGAAGATATTTCATCTTCTCTTTGTATAAGGACGAACTTGTGTATGCATGGTACCAGAACTCATCCAACTCATTCAAATGTGCCACCCTCAAGTTAGCGGCGACATCCCACTCAAGATTTAACTTCTTTAAAGCCCACATGGCTTTGTGCTCAAGTTCCACCGGAAGATGACTAGCTTTTTCGAACACCAACCAATATGGAGACATTTCGATGGGTGTTTTGTAAGCTGTCTTATAAGCCCATAAAGCATCATCAAGTTTCTTGGACCAATCCATTCAGTTAGCATTCATTATTTTGGACAAATACTTTTTATCTCCCGGTTGGAGACTTCCACTTGCCCGCTTGCTTGTGGATGATAGGGGGTCATGACTTTATGAGTAACACCATACTTGGTGAGTAAGGTGTCGAAGGCTTTATTGCAAAAATGCGACCCCTATTGTGTATAATAGCCCGCGAAGTGCCAAACCTTGTGAAAATATTCTTCTTCAAGAACGCCACCATACTCGCTTCATTGTTGGGTAGAGCAACAGCCTCAACCCATTTTGACATATAATCAGCTGTGACCAAGATGTAGGTATTTTCACAAGAAGTTAGAAAAGGACAGATGAAGTCATTACCACACACATCGAAAATATCAATCTCCAAAATGGCGGTGAGGGGCATTTCATTTTTCTTTGAGATTCCACCGGCCCTTTGACATTCATCGCATCGTTTTGCTAGATCACTTGCACCCTTGTAAAGAGCAGTCAAATAGAAACTGCAACTTAGCACTTTGGCCACCGTTCTTGCTCTACTATGGTGACCATCATATCGCGAAGAATGACAAGCCCCAAGAATTTCACATTGTTCTTCCTCCGTACAAATCTTTGAAAAGGTATGGTTCATTCCAATAATATTCTTGACAATCCCGTTTGAGCTTCATCCTCTGGTTTGAAGAGAACTTATCCAGGATGACACCACTCACAGGAAAGATTGCTAGATCCGCAAACCATGGCACCTCTTTTATTGAAATAGCCAAAAGTTTCTCATCGGGGAAGGAGTCATTGATTTCAAGGCCATCATGCGGCCTCCCCGTCTCCTCAAATGAGACAGGTGGTCCGCCACTTGGTTTTCACTTCCTTTTCGATCTTGGATGTCAATATCAAACTCTTGCAACAAAAGCACCCATCTCATTAACCTGGCTTTGGAATATTTCTTGCTTATAAGATACCGAAGTGTCACATGATCCGTGTGGATAATCAATATTTGTACCCATCAAGTACGGGCGGAACTTCTCAATAGCAAACACAATGACAAGGAGCTCTTTCTCTGTAACGGTATACTTGACTTGGGCACTATTCATAGTCTTATTTGCATAGTAGACCGGATGAAAAATCTTATTGATGCATTGCCCCAAAATAGCCCCAACCGCTACATTACTTGCATCGCACATAAGCTCAAAAGGAACACTCCAATTTGGAGAGGTGATAATGGGAATAGTAGTCAATTTGAAATTTAACAATTCAAATGCTCCCATGCAATCATCATTGAAGTGGAACTTAACATCTTTCTCCAAAAGTTTGCACAACGGGTTCACCATATCACGCCTCAAACATTTTATTAACTAGATGCTAGTATGTAGCCCCTGCATTTTTTAGTCCGAAGGGAATTACATTGTAACAGTAGGTATCATACTTTGTGATGAATAAAGTCTTCTCCCTGTCTTTGGGGTTCATCTGAATTTGATTGTACCCCGAGTAGGCATCGAGAAAGGTGAGGGTCTCGTAGCCGGCCATAGCATCGACCAGACGATCGATATTAGGAAATGGGAACGAATCCTTGGGACTCGCCTTATTTAAGTCTTTATAATCTACGCACATTCTTAGCTTATTTCCTTTTTTGGGTACCACTACTACGTTGGCCAGTCATTCGGGGTACTTTACCTCTCTAATGGACCCTATTTTAAGGAGTTTTGTTACCTTATCCTTGATGAATATGTGTTTTATCTCAGACTGGGGTCTTCTTTTTTGCTTCACAGGTTTAAACCTGGGGTTGACACTCAGTCGGCGGGAGGTTATTTCCGGTGGGATACCTTTCATATCTAAGTGGGACCAAACGAAATAGTCGATATTATCAATAAGAAATTGAATGAATTTTTTCCTGAGTTTGGGGGTTAATCCCGTTCCCAAGTATACCTCACGATCGGGGAGGTGTTCGACCAAAATAGCTTACTCCAGATCTTCAGTTATCGATTTCATTGCATCCGACTCTTCGGGGGCAACGAAAGTTCGAGGAGCGAGGAAATCTTCTTCGTCGTCCTCGGGGGTCCGTATGCTCCTAGACACATCTGAGGTCAAGAGTACGGGGGTCGGCTCCTCTGGGTAAACAACGAACATTTCTTTCGCCGCACGCTGTTCTCCGTATACGGTGGTTAAGCCATCCTTTTGTCGGAAATTTGATCATCTGGTGCAGAGTTGACGGTACTGGCCTCAGGCTATGTATCCACGACCTGCCAAGCAACGCGTTATACCTTATGTCGCCATTGATGACTTGAAACTTGGTGTTCTGAACCATGCCGAACGTGCCGACTGGAAGGGTGATTTCTCCTTTTGTTACTTCGCCGGTCATGTTGAAGTCGTGGAGGACCCGGGAGGCGGGTATGATCCGATTGAGCAAGCCAAGATGTTCTACTACCCCTGACCTGATTACGTTGGCCGAGCTTCCTGGATCCACTAGCACACGTTCAACCTGAATGTTGTTTAAAAGAAACGAGATTACCAGTGCGTCATTGTGTGGCTCTGCCAAGGTCTCGAGATCATCTTCGCTGAATGCGAGGGTGTCTTCGGCCACGCGGTCTCGGATCGGCCCTTCCATTACGGCGGATACTTTTTTCCGCTTGATCATGGGCCCTTGAGGAATGTCAGTCCCTCCAATAATCATATGAACAACATGCTAGGGCTATGACCATAACCTAGGTATTTGCCTAATAGGATATAACCTTAATGCTTGTTTTATTGATCGGGGTGTATTATAGCTGTCGACACTCAATTACCCACTTAATACCTCTCGGTCAGAGATATTTTGCCCAATTTGGCTTTCTCAAGTACAAATGGGCATTGCACAAAACAGTTGATAAAATCTCAAGTCGAGTTATTATTATATCTAGGTCGGACCCTTTAATTGGGATTATCAATCTCTCGATTTACCCAATTTCTTATTAGCCAAGTTTTGTCTTAGACTAAGTTTCTCTTTCTCAAGTAGAGACTAAGTCAAATAGGCATGAACTAATGTTTGCAACAAGTAATTCTACAAATTAAAACATGAACAAGGCTAAATGATAAACACCCAACCATAAACAAAAACTAAATTAGACACCCATAAGATTGACACACTAGGGTTGGGTGACAACCCTAGTAAAAATCTAGCTACTCATGCTTGAAATTGAAGAAATAGAAGAATAGAATCTAATTAAACTCATATTGTAAAATCAAAATGATAAAATCAATATTAAAATATCCCAAAAGATGAAACACTACTAAATGAATGTTTACCATGAAAATGGTAATAACAATTAAATTTGATTATGGGACTCTAAAAATACGTGATCTATTTTTATGCTAGTTGTTAAGCAATTGATGCTATGTATGTGAGACTTAGAAATAAAATAAGAGTTTAGAATAAGATGATAACCAAATCGATAGATTAACAATTGGGGCCTCAAGCTTGTCGATTTGGGGGCTTCGAGGTCGATCCTGCAGCTCGACAGTGAGTTATCGAAGGTGATCGAGGTATGACTAACAATTATAATAAAATGAACGAAGGCTCTTTATGGCCAATGATAAGCAATAAATGATGAACAATAATAAAGATAGTAAATGGAAGTAATAATCTCAAGAGAGTATGTTAGAAAGCAGAGAGAATGTTCTTGTTTATTTAGTATGGAGCAATCAATCCTTACAATGTGGTAAGGACCCCCTTTATATAGAAACATGTGGGATCCTATCATAGTACAAACACATTTATTACAAAGATATGGAGATGGGACAGCTAGTAGACGTCATGATGGGGGCTCAGACTAGCCTGACAGACTTTGGGAACTTCCCTTTTTTCCAATATAGCCGTTGGTCTGCATTGCCCCGAGGTCAAGCATCGACAGCCCTCGAAGGTGAACCTCGACCCCAGTCTTGAGCCTTGGAAAAGTACGTTCGCGGGGCATCAAAATGACGAGGAAATTGGACCCTCCGATTTCACCGTGCACAATGAAGTAAAGAGAAACGGCTACTGTAGCTGCTGATGTCAAAAGTTAACCTAAAGATTGTGAAACTCGTCCATTTATACATGGCTGAAAATTTCGGACAAAAATACCCTTTGGGAGATTCTGCGACTGCACATTTCCATGTGTGGTCCGCAGATTTCTTCAACTTGTTAGGAGTTGCATATCTACGACCGCATAATTCTGATTTGCAACGGCAAGGCATTCTTTCTGCGGTCCGCACTTTTACATGTACGGCCGCACTTGATCTTCTACGTCCCATGCTTTTACACTTGCGGCCGCACAATTCCTGTGCGGTCCGCACTGTGCGGTACGCACTTCTGGGGGACTTCGAATGCACATTCTCGAACTTTAAGTCCTAGCCATCTTTTCCAACCTCACAATTCATGTGCGGACTGCACTTTGTACCAAAATTTGTTGGATTTTCCTTCATCAGCTGCGACCACAGTTTATATTCTGCGATCCGCACTTTTGGGCTTTTGTGCCTTTTATGGCCTTGAGTTTAGATTACTCCTCTTTGAGTTGGATTTCATATCGGGAGTCCATCTTCCAATATTCCTACAATTAAGCACATTTCATCAGTTTTCAGGAACATAATTAAACGCTTTTAGACTAAAATAAAAGCTAAAAGCTGCTAATAAGTAGTCAAAATTCCTACTTATCAGTGATCAAATTTTAATATAAAAAATAAAAAGGTTAGACAAAATTACTTCTTTTGACAGTGCCTCCCTTTTAGTAATATCTCATTTCATTTGAAATTTAGAGTATGAAAAATCAAAGTAGAGACATATAGTTCAACAGTTTATTGAGAACAAAAATTAATTGCTATTAGGCTCTCTTTGTTAGTTGGATTGCATATTCATTTATAAAAGATCAATAAATCTATTTGGTTTACATGTTAAAACCATCACATTTGATTCTTTGATTTTTTGGTTATATTAGGAAAAATAGAAAATCTCTTCATCTGTCCAATATTTCATGGTTCTCGAACATCAAACCATGTATGTAAAAAAGATTTATTAGTATTAGGGCTCTCAAATTTGGTCCACGCCTGAATGACCCGTCCAACCCATCCAAGATTGGGTTGGTTATTAACCCACCCATTTCTTGAACTTAGTCCATCTTGACCCAACCCATCTCATCCCATTAAAGGTTGGACTAATTTTTAGCCCAAATTGATTCATGAGTAACATTGCCAAAATATCTTAGAATTAATTTTTTTTGTTTGATATGTTATATATGTCACGACCCTAAAATCGAACCTGTCGTGATGGCACCTATCGTGAAACTAAGCCAGTTGACACAAATCCAAAATCAAACTATTAATTCATAAAAGATAGTTTTAAGCTATTAGTTGTCAATATCTCATAATAAGGGTCTAAATAACCAGTGCGGAAGAAAATAACACAAGCCCGATATCGGGGTGTCACAAGTCACGAGCAACTACAAGGTCTGTCTAAGTACAACAAGGCTATCATAGTTCAAAAATAAAGATAGTAAGAACAATCTATGTAAGGTAAGAAGGAGAAGTGCAGGGCTGCGAACGCCAAGCAGCTACCTTGCCGACTCTGAAGACCTGGTGGAAGAACTATCAGCACTGACTATCGAGACCCGCAACTCCTGGATCTGCACACAAGGTGCAGGGAGTAATGTGAGTATGTCAAATCAATAAGTAATAAAAATAAATAAAATCTGAGCAGTAAGAAAACATATAATTCCATGTCATAGCACTACAGCAAAACAGTATGTTTCCAAAGCAGTGCAATAATCAATTATCTCATGAAAACTCAGTTTCAATAAAACCTTTTAAAAACAACCTTCAATAGTTTTCAAACAAGTGGTGGAACAGTGAGTAAAGATGACGAAAACATAAACAGCTCCTCGGGCAAGACATGTATCATAAACCGCCCCTCGGGCATATCATCAGTGAGAACCAGCCCCTCGGGCTACCTCAAAATCACTCATAATCGGCCCTTCGGGCAACAACATGAATCAAGATCAACCCCTCGGGCAACATAACATCACTCACATTGGGTACCCGCGCTCACTAGGGATGTTCAGACTCTAGAGGGGCTCCTAAAGCCCAAGCGCTATCACAAGCCATCTCGTGGCATAATAAATCAGGCCCTCGGCCTCTCATATATCACAAAACAGTACAACCTGCTACGGTATGCAGCTCGATCCCATGATATCCTCACAACACAGGCCCTCGGCCTCACTCAGTCAAAAATCTCTCAAGCCACTCGGGCAAATAATAAAACAGGGTGCTCAGCCCAAAAATATCATTTATGGGGTATTTCATGTTGTTGTTGGATTGTGTGTTTTGCTACTGTTTTATGGAGTTTTTGAGGAGAAAGGGTGTAGAGAAACACCACATAAATTCGGGGTGGTGGGCTGGTCATTTGGCGTAACAGTTTCGGGTTGTTTGATACTACTATGGTAGTCGTTTTGCTCATGAAGAGATTGGGGTGTTTTGGGATATTTTGTGGTATTTTGTGATGGATATAA